CCTAAACAATTCTATGATTCTATGAATGTTTCATCACTTGTGACGGACATTAAGCTCAACATAACCAAAATGGTCATGAACTTAGAGTTGATTTGGATAAAGAATAATCTGAAGCTTGTCCAAATACTGGCGAAGATGTGCTAGAAATGGGCGGGGAAAAAGCTGGAGGGTTTTATTGTAGATTTTCTATCAAGTAAAACTGGGCAGAAGGAGGCTCAGGCCATCACCCACTCTGTTTCTAAACAGCAGGCAGGATCAGCAATACCTGAAACATTTCTTGTGCTCTGACCCCTTCCCTGACCTTCAAAGGTAAAATCCTATATTATTTCTGTTTTTTAGAAATAATGACCGTCTTATTCCATCATTTTGAACAGACTTCCTGTTATTCAAGACCTTGCCGCAAATCTCTTGTCACTTCAGATCAGTCAGTCTGTAGGATTCCTCTTGGTTTGTACACTGGGAATTGAAATATTAGTAAGTATTTTATCCATATGTATCAACAGGGTATCTCACTGCTAGCATTCTACCCCTTTGAGGAATTGTAAGTTTTATTAATGTGCTTGTTTTTCACTCTTCTGTTGGATTTTTTTTTTTTTTTCATTAGGTCTTCAGCTTTTTCTACCGCTCTACACTTACTATTGGTCTTCTTGTCTTTGCTGGCTGGCCAGTGATCACACAGCTGTGGGTTCAAGCAAAGGTACTGTATTGCTTTGCTTAAAAAGAGCATTTTAAATGGCTAACAGCTGATTGCATCTTAGGATGTTGGGACTGGTCTCTTTGGAATGTTGCTTTAGATTCTTGTTCAGTTATGCTCTTATTCTGATCTCTGTCATGAGCAGCATGTAGCAAGGCAAGGGAGTTAAATATGATCTGGATAGATCTCTTATATGAGAAGTAATAAGACTGCTTAAGAATTTCAGGGTAGCTATGAGTTAGCTATCAGTTTTCTGTTCTTAATGATAACTAAAAAATGCTTGACTTAAAATCATATGAAATACACATAATTTATCAAATTGTCACAGTGACAAAAGCATTGACGTGCATGATTGGTGAAAGTGCCACCATTTAAGTAATATGATCATTTATTGAAAAAAAAGTACTAATAACTGAAAAATGCGTGTCAATTCATATTGTCTGCAATCAACTGGCACGCATCATTCCTCAGGGGCAGCTTTCTGTACGGTTTTCCCCAGGAAAAAACGTCACTTTGTAGATATGGGTATGAAGTGGCACAACCTTTAATATAAGAGGCTTTTCTTCCATTAGTTTATCCAAACATCTCTTATTTCACAGGATACTTAAAACCTAAAGTTCTGGTGTAACATTAACATTTTAATTAAAACAAAAAAAATTGGAGTCAAATTGCCAAGTCTTGCTCTGCAAGAACTGTCAAGATGGAGGCTTGTATTTATTTACAATTTTTTTTATTGTATTTGAGTAATCAAGTAACTTGTCTTAAAGCTGGATATACACAGAAGATGTTTTGCAGCACTGAAAATTTCCTTTCAGGAACTTGAGTCTGACTTGAGCTTGAAAACTTGAAGTGATATAGCTCTTAATATCTTTAGAGTAAAATACCTGGGATAGGGTTGGTTTTTTTTTCCCCTCCTAGCAAAGAGTTTAGAGAACTACTTAGACGATTATGGTGGTTAAATCAAATGGCATTCACATTCAAAGACTGGAAAATGTTACCATATTGCTAGAGAATGGGTGATTACTTAACTGCTGCAAACTTCTGATGAGATTAGTTTTATTCCTTTCTTCCATAAGGTTACTCATCAGCTTTCTGGTGACTGCAATGTGTGTGAAGGCCATACTTTAAGAAAGTGTTTTTAAATATAAACTTAGCTTTAATTCGCATTGTCTTTGATAGGATTTTGACAGCTGTGTAAATGAGATTCTTTTCTGTATTAAATTGAAGTGCTGTAATACCAATGACCCTGTGTCCTTTTTTCAGTTAATTTTACTCTTGATAGATGCAAGGGTGTTCTGCCTGTGGGAGATGCTAGTAGCCATTAGTAGTTCACTGAAGTATTTTTTTTCTGATTAGACAATTGTCTGTCCACATGACCTCCAAAAAAATCCCATTTGTTTTTCTTCTTTTAGGCAACAGCATTGATGTGGACTTTTCTGTGTGTCCTCCTGGCAATATTTCCTTTAATGCCTGTTGTAGGAAGAGAACCAAACATTCCTCTGGTGTAAGAATCTCATGTTGTTCTCTAAACTTTTTATTTCCCTCTTTGATATTCAAAATTCAGGCTGAGGAGTTGTATTACTGAAAGCTGGCTGAGACAGGTATTGAAATTCAGAATTTAAATAACATGATTATAGAGACCTCAGTTATTCACTAATGTGAATGAGAACAGACTTTTAATTCTTTTGACACATCCATTTGCTCTTTGCATTATTCTGTAATTTCTTGTCGAGGGAAACATTTCTCACAATACAAAAATTTGCAAATTTTATGTGAAAATAAAGGTCATCATTAAAGGAGGAGCTTCACTGGGGTGCAAACATGGTAAATAGCACTGAGATATGTGAATAACAGCATTTATTCAAAAGCCATTTACTTTGACAGCATCTTTCTGAATTCCTCCATCTAATTTTGAATAATCTGTCTTTGAATAGGACTCTATACCTAATGAGATATTCAGGGAAATAGAACAGATAGAATAGGCAGAGCTCTCTTCTTCCTCAGTGTCTCCTTTGTCTCTTCTTTTTCCACTTCTGCTTCTCTGTTCTGCATTTTCCTTTCTGGTGTTGCCTGTCTAATTTTCTACAGTTGTTGATCTGCATTTTTTTCTAGTACATCTTTGTCGTCTGTCCCTCTCCGCTTGTGAGCTACTCTTTCATCATACAAGCAATTCTCTCATATCTAGATACAATCCAGATGGTTGGCCTGAAGGCGTTGGGCTTGTGGTATCGTTGTAGTTACTGCAGAGGGAGACTTGAATTGACCTAGACTGCAAAGGCTGCTTCTGCTGTCTGGCAGAAGATACTGTGCCCCATCAGAGCCAGGGTGCCTGATCCTCAGTAAAATACAGGATTTGAGCAGTAGTATGTGATTGCAGATAGAATTGTGAGCCCAGATATTTCCAAAATTACTTACATTCTGCCCTGATATTTTTCACTGTGATTTAAATCTATCTATTGAAAACCCTTCTTAGTCTTGATGCTTGGCATGTTGGAAATATTCAGGACAGATTTGCTTTGGCTGTATTACAACCTCTCAGCTGTATACACACGTATGTATTTCTGCTGGTCCAAACTGATTTTTTTTTTTTTTTATTCTTTAGAACATTTGAGCACAGCTTAGAAATCAAAATGGAATTAAATTACCTTCAGATCTTCCTCGCTGACACTTCTTTACATTCACCTTACCCAGGCTATACATCTTCCTATTTAATCTTCTAATGAAACATAGTACCTCTGAAACAGTTTGCACCTGTCTGAATCTTGTCAAGGGAGTTTTGAATCTGAAAAGGCTTGAAGCAACAATTAATATATGTATATGTGACACTTCAGGATATTGGAGATAAGGAGATGCTGGGAGAGAAGATACAGGAGGGAGAAATTAGAGTGCCAATGAGAAATAGGGGCATTTATTAAACCTGTTCTTGAGCAGAGGCACTATATGTCAGGTCAGGGCTTCTTCAATACATTAATAAAACTTGTATGGTACAAACAGGGAGCTCCTGACTCAACTCAGTCATAAAAAGGAAGCATACAGGAGGTGAAAGCAGAGTCAGATGACCCAGGAGGAACATAGAGATGCTGTCTGAATATGCAGGATAGGTTAGGAAAGCTAAAGCTCTCCTAGAGTTGACTCTGGTGTGGGATGTAAAGTGCAACAAGACAGCGTACAGCAGCAAAAGGACAATGTGGCCCTGCTGCTGACTGGGACGGGGACCTGGTGATAAAGGACATGGAAAAGGCTGAGGCCTTCTTTTGCCTCTGTCTTTACTGGTAAGACTGGCCATTAGGAACCCCAGCCTTCAGACTGCTGAGACCTATGGGAGGGTCTGGAGCAAGGAAGACATAACCTTAGTGGAAGAGGATCAGGTTAGGGAACACTTAAACAAATTGGACATGCACGAGTCTATGGGCCCTGATGGGATACATGCAAGAGAGCTGAGGGAGCTGGCCAATGTCACTGTGATCATCTTCGAAGAGTTGTGGCAACAGCTGGTGGGAGAGGTTCCTGAGGACTGGAAGAAAGCAGATGATGTCACTGCTATCTTCAGAAAGGGTAAGACAGAGGATTCAGGGGACTACAGGCCAGTCAGCCTCACCTCAATCCCTGGAAAGGTACTCGAGCAACTAATCCTGGAAGCAAACCATTTCTAAACATATAAAGGACAAGAAGGTGATTGGGAGTAATCAGCATTAAGTTATGAAGGGGAAGTTGTGCTTGACCAACCTGGTAGCCTTGTAAGATGAGAAGACTGGCTCAGTGACCCAGGGGAGACCAGTGAATGTTGTTTATTTTGACTTCAGCAAGGATTTTGTTACTGTCTCCCATAACATCCTCATACACAAACTGATGATGTACACGCTAGATCAGTGGACGGCGAGGTGGACTGGAAACAGGCTTAACTGTCAAGTTCAAAGGATTGTAATCAGCGGCACAAAGTCCAACTGGAGGCCAGTCACTAGTGGTGTACAGCAGGTGTTGGTACTGGGGCCAATACTGTTTTAACATCATCTTGGCTTAAATGATGGGATAGAATGCACCTTCAACAAGTTTGTAGGTGATACAAAACTGGGAGAAGTGGTTGATGCAGCAGATGGATGTGCTGCCCTTCAAAGGGACCTCAACAGGCTGGAGAAATGGGCAGACAGGAAGTTCATGAAGTGCAAAGTCCTGTACCTGAGCAGAAATAATTTCCATGCACCAGAACAAGCTGGGACCGACTGGTTTGACCACAAGCCAGCAATGTGCCCCTTGCAGGAAAGGCCAATAGTATCCTTGGCATCACCAGGATGAGGAGGAGGAGGGTGATTATTCCTCTCTACTCAGCCCTGACGAGACACATCTGAAAGTGCTGTGTCCGGTTCTGGGCTCTCCAGAAAGAGAGACGTGGACATACTGGACCAGGTCCAGAGAATGGCCATTAAGATGAGTAAGGGATTAGAGCATCTGTCACAGGAGAGCAAGTGAGAGCTGGGACTGCTTGTCCTGGAGGAGAGATTGGGAGAGCTGGAACTGGTTATTCTGGAGAAGAGAAGACTCAGGAGGATCTTATCAATGTATATAAATACCTGTCTGGGGGAGAAGTGTAAAGAAGACAGATTCTTCTCAGTGTCCAGTGAAGAGACAAGAAATAGGCAGAAATTCAGATACAGGAAATTCCATTTAAACATAAGAAAAAAGCTTTTTTACGCTGAGGGAGGTGAAGCAGTGGAACAGGTTCCCCCGAGAGGTTGTGAAGTCTCCATCAGTGGAAGTATTTAATACCCAGCTAGGCACGGCCCTGAGCAGCCTGCTGTAGTTGGCACTGCTTTGAGTAGGGAGTTGGACTAGTCTGATCTCTAGAGATACCTGCCAACCTCCATTCTATGAGTGAGTAGCCTGCAACTGTGTTCCTGTATTGGTTAGATCATTGCTTGAAAATTGCTATTGAGATATGCCTGTGTAGCCTGATTTTACTGAATATGAGGTATTTGTACGTTTTTGTGTTATGCCTGAGAAAACACGAGTGGAGCAGTCACAAATGGAGATTTTTGTCAGTAATCTCTCAGTGGAGATGCCAAGGGACAAGTGGAAGTGAGGACTGTGTGGTTTGACTACTGCCATATCAAGGTTGTACCGTGACAGAGAAATACATGCAAAAACTTCTGCTGCTTTTACAGTTCCTCTGCTTGCTTGATGACTGAAGGGAGATAATCGGAGGTGCTATTAGTATTGATCTTTTAGTGAATCATGTCTATTATTTTGGAACAGTGTCATAATTAGTAGATTTACTCAATTTATGTCAAGCAGTGCTTTTTTTCCTGTGTTTACTTGATGAGTGACAATCTTCCTTGCTGTTGCGTTTAGACAAAGCTATTTATTTGATAGTAATGGTGGTATGATTACCCTGTTAGATGACAACCTGACAAACCTTGAAACCACTAACTTTAGATCAGTGATCACTGTTACTCTTTTGTTCAAAATATTATTTGGAGGTAATCAAAAGTACCTACAAATAATGGGTGACAGATCAGACACGTGGCCAAAATGGAGATTTTTTTTTTTTTTTTTTTTTTTTTTTGGCCACTGCCGTGAAAAGAGAATCACTATATTTGTGGATGACAAGCTTGTATTTAAAAAACAAACAAACAAACAAACAAAAACAACAACAAACTCCCACCCCACCCCCTGCAAAAAACCCCCACAACTGACCACTACAAAAAAAAAAACCAACAAAAAACCACACACCACAAACCACACTTGATTCTGGATTGGATTTTGTTTTTCTAAAGCTGGATGTTGAAGCTTCCTTAATGTATTAAGTCTTGATACTGTAACGAATTATTTCATCTTAGTGAAGAACACTTCTGTGAAAATTTCCTGAACCTTTTGATGATATTTCCTGGGATTTTATTTTCTTTTGTTTTTTTTTTGCAGACTAGTAACTGGTTTGCTGACTCTCTTGATCTCTTGCTTCTCATTGGCATCTCTTTGTAAAAGCGAAAATAAGTACAGAAATAACGAAGATCTGAAAGTACATTTTTATCAGGTCAGTTGCGACTTTTCAGTAATTCTGAATGTTAGAGGGTTTTTACATGCAAATTTTTACATACTTTCTAAGAACGTGTTCCTACCAAGGCCACAATTTTCAAGAAGAAAATTATTGTTCCTAAGAGTTTTCCCCTTGACTGTTTTAAGAGAACCATGTGCTCATGGTAATATGCATTTTTAAATATCATTATGCTATGTTCCCAAAAGCTCATCCTGTCCATATTTATGTGTATTGATACATAGATGTGCATAGACATTTTGATGCTCTACTCGGAGAGTTTGAGAGTTTGTCCTGCCTTCAGTCTGTATGTAACTTCCAGTGACCTTTGCAGGAATTGCACATGCACACCAAGGAAAGTCTTGCTGGTTCAGGGGGTTCTTTCCAGTTTCTGGCTGTTGAATAACAATGTGAGACTGATACTGAGCTCGTTTTCTGTTGGTTAAATCTTCTTTCAGATGAAAGATGAGATTTTTCACTTTATAGCTTCATGAAGTAGGTAGATCTTTTCATAGTATGTGCTAACTAAGTTCTAGAGAGCCTTTAAGATTCTAATAATACCTTGCGTGTCTGCTGTCCTCTTTTTTTTTTTTTTTTTTTTTTTTTTAAATCTTATTACAATATAATGGTTTTATTTCAGGACCAGCTTTATTGGTTATGACTTATGTGCTGGAGTTTCTTATTGAGCTAAGCAATGCATTCATTATATCAGTGATTTAGGTATGGAGCTCAAATTGGTTAAAACGAGGAGGGGAAAGAATAATGAATGCTTAAAATGCCTTTACGTGAATGTACCCACATGTATAATGTGCTGGTGGTTTCTCTTAACTTTTCCAGCTTAACTGTGGAGAAGAGGTATCAGTTCCTTTCCTAAGCATTTAGGACAGATATTTTCAGTATATACTCAGCAGTGGATTTCTCACTGGAATGCCTGAAAACAAATTGTACTGGATGGGGGAGTGAGAGAGCAGCTGGGTGGGTATCTGATAGCTGGCTAATGTCAACTCACCACACAACTGCTACAGCATCTCATGCGGAGATGGAGAAGCTCACAAATGATGATGATGATGATGAAATAGATCTGTTGTCAAAAAGTAATGCCAGACTATTCTTGAGCCAACTTTAGAGAATCAGGAAATTCACTCACAGAGCCCTGAGATACTTAATTAGATGAAAATGTTCTGCCTGCTTGTTCAGGGAATAACATCTTCGTTTTCCTCCCAACCTTTAAGAAGATCATAAAGCTCCTCAAATAGCTCCTTAATCAGAGGATATTTTACAATAGTGACATCTAATTACTAGTCTCTATAAGATTTTTATTTCAAAAGCTTACTTGGGAATGGAAAACGTGGATCCACCATTCACACTCTGGGTAAGGAAAGGATTGGGAGGGGAGATTATTCAGACTTAAAGGGGTAAAAGGACTTTACAGAGGCATTACCCGTTTCTAAGTAAATAACTTATTTTGAGGTTAGATTTCATTTAGTTGCTTTGAAACATACAGGAATACAAAAGGAAAATGTTTATCAGAAGACTAGTATTTCTAGGCAATGGAATTCCCTTGTTCTCCTTTTTCTTTTGAGTTGGAGTTTTCAGTGGGGACAGGGAAGAGGGTAGTCTTCAAAAATGCTGGTTTGGAGTGTTTTGAACACATGAGTTTTGATTTACAACTCCCAGGCAGTTTTAAGGGTGAGGTGAATCCTCTAGTCAGATGAAACATACCTATTTTGCAATGACAGACAGAGATCAGGGCACTGACGTTCATATACATAAGCACACATGATCAGGTTCCTGCTTTGCATCTGACAAAGGGTTTCTTAAAAGTAGTTTTTGCAGCTCCCCCGTTTGTGATGTTTGGAGACAGTCACTGAAGGTTATGCGTTCCTCTGGTAATGTTGTTCCTTCCTAGACAGGAAGTTAAGATTGGTTGTTGGACATTTCTTCATTTTGGGGAGTGAGAAGATAGATTAATTTGCTACAGGTCTTTCTTCTTTGTGTGCCACTTTCCTCCAAGTATTGATTGAGGTGGAAGGGAAAATACAGCGTCCCTTCCTCATATTCTTTGTGGTTTGTCCTGGGGATTCCCTTAGCCACTCTGCTAACATCTTTTATAGGTTCAGCTCTGACTAAAAGCTTTTGAATTACACAATGGAGAAGGAATAGCTGGTGTTTCTAGTTTTCTTCCTTTTAGCAAAAAGCCTATCGATCTGGCCAGACTTCTCTGATCAGGATCCCCTGACTTTTTTTTTTTTTTTTTTTTTTTTTAAAATCCTTTTCCTCTTTGTTTTGGTAGAGTCTGTGTGTAAGAACCCTCTTTTAAATCTTTCATTTCATTTCACCTCACCTCAATTTTTTGCATCTGCTCATTTGGGATGAGATGCATTTTCATACAAGAAATAAGGTAATATTTCCCAAAGGCTCAAATAGTTCTGAGTTGTTCTTCACAAGTTATTTTGGAATTGCATCTGAATAAAGACACTTCCCTTTTCAGTTCTCTTCCTGTTTCAGTTAGAGAAAGAGAGAGATTCAGCATAGCCTAGGCTTTTTGTTGTGCTTATGATTAATTTTTTTCCTCTTCTGAAGACAACTTTCTTCTTTCTTGTCCAAGTGAGCTTCCTTTTCCATCTGGGAATTAGCCTGTAGTGAAGATATCGTGCCTGGTAAGGAATAAAGCTTGTTCCATTATGTTAATTGCTTTCCTTTTGGTCAAAAAGAAATCTGAGTTGGCAGAGACCCTCAGAGTAGGCAAAATCCCTCCAGTTTGCATGTAGTCCTCCACAGAAAAGATAATTCCCTCCAATCCAGTCCTGAACTATGTATTTTTGCCTTGGTTTCTCCATGGATGGGACAGAGTGTACACCTTAGCAAATGAGTATGAACTACATACCTGTATGGCCATTTACAGACTACTCATTTATTCACTTGTTTTTGCACCTACACACTATAGATTTCCATCATGGGTATTAGCCTTAAAGAAACAAAAAAGTCCCAGACAACCAAACATCAAAAGTGTATAAATAAAGAAATTTTAAAAAGTAAAAATGCAAGCTTGAGTAACTTCGTATTGTTACATTTACATTTCTGTTACAAAAACTTCAGTTATATTTAGACCTAATTTTGAAGTTTTGATACATGTCGCTGCTTGAGGCAGAAGATACTAATTACACCCTTATAGTTTCTGAAAATTGCCAAGAGTTTCTCAGGTTTTCTCATGATATCATTAAAGCAGGAATAACTTTTTTTTTTGCTGAGTTTTGTTTGCTGTGGCAAGGAGAGAATTGTCTTTTGGTTAATGCTACTTCTGTCTTCTAGCAAGATGGGTGTTGGTTTCTTTTCCCAAGTAACAAGTGTCAGGATGAGAGGAAATGGCTTCAGGAGGTTTAGACTGGATATTAGAAAAAATTTCTTTACTGAAAGAATGGTCAAGCACTGGAAGAGGCTGCCCAGGGAAGTGGTTGAGTCACCATCCCTGGAGGTATTTAAAAGACGTGTAGGTGTCGCGCTTAGGGACGTGGTTTAGTGGTGGACTTGGCAATCTTAGGTTTACAGTTGGACTTGATGATCTTAAAGGTCTTTTCCAACCTAAATGATTCTATGATTTTATGATCTTTGAGAAGTCAGGAAGGCTTCAGGAATGGTGAAAACAGGAGTTATTGATAATCCATCAGCTAGACTGCTGCAGTGCCTACTGTACAATTTAATTTTTTTTCCTGGAGAGAACACCAGTTTCTCTTTGCCAGCAGTTTCATAGGTGAAGTCCAGTTTTTGCTGCACTACCGAAAACACTGCTCTTTCCATTGGTTGATAATGTTGGGTCAAGTTGTTATTCCTAGCAGGCTTGAATTTCATGTGGGTCCAAGGTGGTCAGTTTATTAGTTTTCTCCTCTAAATTAGGAGGAGAAATAAACAATAGGAATCCATATCGTATCAGTGGAACTAGGGGACAGGAGGAGTGTTTTCAACTAGCCTCGTATAGTGTCCAGCTGATGATGCTGGTTCTCCTACCATTCTCTCTATGGGTTCTTACCATGTTAGATGCTTAGGAGAGCTCCCAGCCAGAGCTGCTGACGAAGAGGTGTTGGGACTGCAGATGTCACCCTTGGTTTCCTCTTTCTATCTGTAACCTATGGATGAGTGTTTCTCAGGTCTTGAGCTGTTCAAGAATAGTCTCTGAAATTCAAAGAAAGTTGTGAAGGGGGAAAGAAGACAGATTCTTAGATGGAGACCTCAGTTTGCACCTTGAAGTTGCTTCTGCACTGTTCCACAGTCCTGGAGATGTTGGTGAAAGCTGAGAGCAGTTTGAACATTACTTAAACTGCAAACACAGGAGTCTCAAAAGCAGATGCTGAGCCCTTCCCTGGACACTGGCATAGATCTAGCAGCAGTAAATTGGGTTTACTAAAGTGCCCGGGTCATCACAAGTCTTTCAAGGCACAAGATATATTATGGGAGATGACACAAAGTGAGTGCAAAGTGACTTCACCAGTGGCTAGGGCATAGCAGAGGGATTACCAGAGCTCATGACACTAAAAGAAGTTGAAAAGGTATATCAAAGGGAAGAGATCTGGCCTGAATACAGCAAAAGCATCTGAAATAAACATCAGTGGTCTAAAGGGGCCAATTCCCTGAGCTTTTGGAGACTTAATGCTTTGACCTAGCTTATTGATGTCACACAGAAATAAAAGTTACATGTTCTTGTGGCCTGAAATTAAATAAAAACGGCAGATACTGAGCACCTGTGAAACTGGGCCAAAAAAGAATGCTGACTGCTAAGTGTATCCTCTGGGCAGGTACCACTAGGAATCACTGCGTCTGGCAGGGGAATGGCAGCTATTCATACAGTAAAAAGTGACAGATGTGAACACTGCGTAGTTGCTTTGCACTAAAAAAGACACAACAGCAATTAGATCTTGTAATGCAGTTTTAAAGCACATGCTTGCAAAGTACCATGCATGCTTGATTTGCCTTTTAGTGGAACTGCGGAGTTGTGAATAAATAGCAGTAATTGAAAACTTGGCTCAAGCATTTTCTTGGGTAATTGTATCTTTCAAAAATAACTGACTCATGGGGTAATTTTCCTAAGGTTTTTTTGCACCTACTTGATGACTGAATGGTGTCTCTTGAATTAGTCAAGAAAAAAACCCTCTTCAGCTTCACTGCTTCTCCAAAGCAGAGGACTCTGCTTGAGGTGGTTCAGACAATTTCATTTGAACAGTCTGCTGAGATTGCAGCTTCTTTCCATTTCTTAAAACCCACCTCCAATCTGCTCTGCTGCTGCTGTCTCTTCTTACAGGAGCTGTGCTGTCCATGCAAAGCTTTTGCCTTAACTACCCTTCCCCTTCACCCTGTACCTGATCCTGCAGCAAAGCCAGAGGTTCTGCTAGTTCTTCACGGTTGCTGTTTGAGGACAAGTGCTCCTCAAAAAACTGGGGGCATATGTTTTCTGTGGTTTACATGAGTGTTTAAGTAGTTATTCTTGACAAAGAGCATATCGTGTCAAATCAGTGATCCAGGGCACTTGTTTAAACTGTTTAAAAATAGCACAAATAAATAATAATAATTAAAAGAAAAAACCCTAGAAGGAAGTTTTTAAAAGCAAATATTGTAAAAAGCTAGAAATACTCGACACCACATATCATTCTTCCTGTTCTTATGTTGATTCAGATGAGGTGTTTATGCAACTCTAAAGGATATTTACATGTTTAGTATGGGATGGCAGAGATCCATACATTAATTATGTGTTTCATTGTCTGATTTCTTCTTTCTAGATGTTGAGTATTGCACTTTCGACATACGTTGTAAGCAGTACCCATGACAGTCTTAAGAACAAGCAGGGATTGCCTGTATTGAATCAAATTATTAGCTGGATGACTCTAGGTAAGAACATCTTCCCTCTCAAATTTGTATGCTGATAGTTTGTGGGGCTTGGGGTTGAGTGGGGTGCAGTGACGTTTTTTTATTAACATCTTACTTTTGCACATATTCCTTTATTTGACTCCTAATAGTTCTTCCATGTGTTCCCTATTCTTTCCTAAGTGAGTTTTTTTGAGGAATGTGTTAGAAAGTTTTCTAAAATATTACTTCTTTGTAGGTTTGTAATAAAATGCAAAAAACTTTGATTTACAAGTAACTTTATCTTTTGTTTTGAATGTTCTGAATATCTTGAAGACCCCTTTTAGGGATACAATGGTATAAATTCCCTTTTTGTTTCACTTGGAGCCAGGTAAGGATGATCGGAGATGTTCTGCAAGCAATCCAGTTAAACATAGGGAAGTGAGGAAAGGTTTTTGCTGTATTTCAATAGAAACGTGAAGTTGCAGCTGATGGCGGAGACCCTTAGGGTTCGGAAGTGCTTTTCAGAGCTGCCTTGCAAAATACCTGTGAACTAATGATACTAACGTATGTTTGATATCTGTTAGAACCTAATTATTAAAGAAAAAAACAATTTACAAGTCTATGGATTTTTCACCACTCTAAAATTAAAATCTTAGGCTGATTAAACAGAGCAAATGTAATTATCACTGGGATTATGGAACACAGTAAAGCAATACCTTTCATACTTCAGCTATAAAATAATTTCGGTAGGGGTCCATTAGAAAATGTTGAGCATTGTTTAGTCCTGAGTGATCTGGAATGTGGGATTTGTTTTAGAGCTAAACATATCCCATGCAAAGTTTGATAGCAGCACTTTGCTAAAAGTCAAGACCAGGAGTTTAAACATAGCTTAATGGAAGAATTATGACTCTTTTTATCTAATTGCTGGATGTCTTGTACATTCCTGTATTGGTGACATTGTTTTAACTTAAGCAGATCTTGTCAGTTTTAGCAATCCTGCTTCTGTTTGAGCAAATGGATTCAAGGTTAATACAGCTGATTGTGATCAGTGTGTGTGTGAGCAATGGTCTCTTTGTAATGTAGTTTTCTTCGGAGCATTTTCCTTTTCACCATGCTTTCCTAACCCTTCGTAGCCTGCTAAGCTAAGTGGGGATCTCTGCGTGGATGAATTCCTTGCAGTTGTAAGGTCAATGAAATCAATGATGTCCTGCTTGGCTTACCGGAGCAGGAATTGAGGGTAAAGGTTATCTTTCTCTCCTGTGTAAGGGTAAGAGAAAAACATTTTTCATCGAAGAGGTGATTTGGGCAGTCAGAGAGGTCTAGAGTTACGAGGAAAAAGTGTATTAGAAATTCTCTTTGCTGTGGGTGATGTTTCTATGATAAAAATAAAGCCAACGGTGAAATAAACTGTATATACCCAAAAAGTCTACTTGCTGCCACGGTAGTATTGAATATTTTAGCAAAGTCTTTCAGACTGGAAGTAATCATTGTAAGTGAATATGATATACAAGGTAGGAGCTTTATGTGCTTGCTGAAGTTGCTCTATATAATTAAACACAGAACTAAGCGGGTAAAAAGCTAAGGCATTCAACAACATGTCCTCAATACTCCTGTTGGAGAGAAATGCCTTGTCACTAGCATAACCACAACTAGCATCTGCCTTGTCACTAGTGTGTACCACAAATGTGGCACCATAAGAATTAAGGTACCAAGGTCTACTGTAGATTTTCCAGTTAGTGGCATTATAGGTGGTCAGACTCCTCTTCATCTTTTTGCTTAGTTGTGGAAGAATGACACTCTTACTGAATTCTCATTTTGTACCTCTGTGTGTATTTATATAACCAGAAACACACAATTATCAGTGTTTATTCATAATAATACTGATATGAGTAGTATGATGTCAGTATGATAATGAGACTTCTGAAGTTTTCTAGCAAATTGTTCCCCCTTCCCCGGCTATTCACTCTGATTAATATGAAGCCTACCTTGTTTAAAGTTTTAATTTAGGCCTAAAATTTTTTTTTTTGAAGAAAGACTGGTTTTTGGAGAACCAGGCAAGTGAATTAGTGGTGGGTGGGTTCCTGCAGACCTGTGTCCAGCTGGCTTTAGCTGTTACACTGTATGGTTCGTGCAAAGTACGTTACAAACACACAAACATAGAGGTAAAACCAAGAGGCATAAAGTTAATCCAACTGCTTCCCATGTTCTTCAGAACCACGACACAGAAATTTCTAAATGAATGTATATTATGTTTTGAAGTTTTCATCTGTGGAAATCTATCATAGCAACTTGCCAGATTTTGAGGAATTTGGTGTCACAACTGTGTGCAGGGGACACAAACAGAGATTTGTATAGGTCAGCCAGAAAGACCTGCAGGTCTTTTGATGGTTAATATCTGATGTGTCACATCAGAGATGGAAGGGAAAGGCTAATTATCACCTACCAGCCACTCATCTGTTGTCATCTATGATTGTGCTTGGAGAGTGAAACACGTCTGCTGTGTTGAGTGTCATTCACAGAGGCCAGTTGCCATGCTGAATATCTTTCCAGCCATTCTGACCTGAGGTGAGGTCCCTGGAGTTCCTCCGTGAGTTGGGCCTTCTTCAAGTATAGAAAGCTACAAGTGATGCTGAAAGGCTGGAGCACCCTTGAAATGAAGTCACTTATTCTGTAATTGTAACAGTGGCCAAGGCTGAAAGCCAGGAAATAAAACACACTGACCCACAGGTTTTAGAAACAGCCTCATCTCTCTTTCGTTGATACGTTTACTAGAAATACTAATGTATGCTATGACAATAAATACAAGTGAGCACTTTCCGTATATTACAGTTTTATTTCTGTTACTTATTAGAGTGATTATTAATTATGACTTACTGTTGATGCAGTCTTTGAATGATTCAGTAATGTGAGGGCACTATACCACAATGAAGAATCACACCAATGTTATTTGTCAGCGCGCTTCTTTATAAACACATGAAACTTTCATATTAAAAAAATCAGGTTTAAAGATTAAATCACAGCAATGCTTTTCCTTCTCCCTTTCCTTGCTTCAAGCACTGGCCACTTTTCCTCTGCTTTTCTTTCTCTTTACTCACTCTTCCAGTAGCCTATTTCCTCTCTTCTCAATTTTCCTCGCCTCCTGCAAACTGTTGGGCCCTGTCCTCACTTGCAGAAGTTTCACAGCTAGAGGAGCCTCTTTAGAGGCAGCACGGACTCTACTAGCCAGGGCTGACTGGGCAGTTGAGTAATGGGGTGCACTAAGGAGTGACATGCAACTCTTAAGATCCCACACCTGCATTAGAGAAATGCATTACAAGTTGAAGGCAAGAGGCATGAATCATGACAGATAGGTCCCCTGTAGTTCCTTAAATATTCCTGTTTTAAAACATTTAAGTAGTGAAGCTAATAAGTTGATAGTTTCTGTATCTTTACTACCAGTATTTTCAGTTGCCACCTCAAAACGTGGCAGGTTTCCTAATCCAATCCAGCAGAGCAGTGGCTCTGTAACCGCAGTCTTTGAGCTGCTGGAGGTCCTCGGGGCATGGTAAGTGATTCTCAGAGTAGTATTAAACAGTCAAGTTTGAATGTTTTTTGGGGTAGTGCTTCTGCATCATCTTAAGGACTTATTAGCATCAGTTCGTAAGAAATTATAAAGGCTGTGAGGTAGAAAGCCAGGGAATTAAAATGATAGAGAACTAAAATTACTTTTGATAAATATTAAGCATTCCAAACATTGGGTTTTCTTTAGCAAAAGTAACTTCTGAAAACAGAAGGGCATATATGACCAGTATTGAATTTCTGTACATAAAGTGTCAAGATTTGAAGAATGTTATCTTGTTGCAGAGGATGAAATGTCTTGCATGTAGTGACTGACGGATCTCTTTTTCTTGCAGTTTCTTCCTCAGTGTTGCCGTTACTGAGCCCCACATTTCTCTTTCAGCGACTGTTCAGCATATTGCTCTCCCTGATGTCCACCTACCTGCTCCTCAGCACAGGGTACTTCTTTCTTACTCTGTTTGGATTGGTCTTACATATGAAAATCAGGGGCTAAATGTGAAACTACTGAATCTCATGGACATTTCTGTTAAAGGTGTAACGTGTGCTTCCAGCTGTAGTCTCACCATTTATCTCCTTGTTTAGTTTCCTAAATAAAATTTCAGGGGAACTTCCATATTCCTCCTTGTATTATAAATACTCTTTTGTTGACATTCCTTTCAGCTAGACCAAGCAGTGGCTGGAAGGGTATATATTCAAACAATCTTGCACCAAAATAAGAAAGTCTGGTTTAGTTTGTCTTTTGTTGTTTTGGCATGTGCTTTTCTGTTCTCAGACAAAAGGAAATAACTTCTTTCCCAGCTGCTCAGCACTGGTGTCTAGTTATGGCTTAAATGACATGTGACAGGAAACAGGTAGCCCTAAAATGAGGGGAAAATTTTGTTCAGAGAGATTTTCATGGAAGTAATTTTTTTCAAAGGGATGCTAGTCCCTATAAAGAATAGGGCTTGCTTCTTTTTGGGTAAAAGACAACTCCTCAGAGCTTGTAAATGAAGAAAACACTGTGTCAGCCAACCCTTTTTTTCCCAGACTCAGTAGCTCTTAAGAGCATAATTAATGGGGAGTATAGGAACCATTCTTTCCGCCTCCTCTCTCACTAATCCTCTGGATTTAATTACACTGGAAAGTTAAGTAGAATAAAATATCTTGCAGCAGGCATTTTGCAATAGCTGCCTCTTGTGGATACTCTCATTTTAGATGACGCGTCTCTCTTTTTTTTTTTTTTATCTCCTGCCTCCCCTACCTCCCACTTCCCCATTAAGATTTTGATCCTAATCTTACTCCTGTCTGCACACACACTCTTACACTCAACCTTCTTAGCCTGTCCTGGCTACTGGATAAAGCATGAATGTTGTTCTCTCTGAGGCTGGTAACCTCCCTCTTTGTATTTTGGCCCTGCACCAGACCACTTAAATGCTGACAGCTCTCTGCTGTCTTCCTACAATGTTCAAATAGACCAACAAATTTTGGAACAACTCTTTTTTAAAAAAAAAAAAAAAAAAAAAAAACAACAAAAAACAAACACCAAAAAAACCCCAACAAAACAATCAATCATCGCAAAAACAATGCACTCGGTACCAAAAGTATCCAGTGTTTCTCTCCTCAGTGCTCTGTTATACCGTGTAACCCAGTGCATGGCCCAGGTAACTACAGCACCTCTCTAGGTGCAGTTAAGTGGAAGTATTGAAGCCAGCTGAAGAGCATGGTTGCATACAACCAGTTGTCACTCTCTGTTGAAGACATTCAGTTTGTAGGCAAGTGTAGACCACTGTGAGGATTGTAGGTGCTTTTGTTACTGACAACTCAACCATTGTTGTCTTCGTGTTTAACTGCTTGTCATTCTGATAATTAAAGCAGAAAAGACTATCAAAACCTTTTTGTTCCAGTTTGAAACTGCTTTGTAGCTACACTAGTGGGGAGGCACAACAGAAACAATACCAAGATTAACTGCAATGATTTTCTTATTTTTAGACAAAGTAAGTGTGTGTCCAAGGAGGAAAAAAATAAAAAGGAAAACAATTACAATCTTGTCAGTATTAGTGTCACAGTCAGTGTCAGTATTATAATTTTATCCTGAAAGAAAAAAAAACTGAGAGACACTATGAAGTGCAAGCAGAAACTAGTATTATCCAATGACAGTCTACACCCCTAAGTTATCTGGGGGTTTTAATCTCTCACATATCTCTCATAGTTTGCTGTGTTTGAGTGCTGTAGGAGCCAGAAATACTCCTCTGAGTTTGGGGGTGTAGCTAGAACACCGTAGCGGCCTTGGTTAGAGAGTGACTTGATGCTGCTATTGCAATGGATTGGTATATAGTAAAGAAAAGGACATTTCACTTCAGTTAAATGTAATGCTTTTTTTATTATACAGATGCTTCTCTCCTTGGAACTAGACTGAGATCACCAGAATGAGTTTGTGTGATTAGGTCCTAAAGAGACACAATCTCTAGTCGCTGTCTGGGTTGGACTGTAACCCCTCAGTTCCAAATAGCTCTCATTACAAAATTTTCCGTTTTGCAGAAAATGGGTGCCAAATGTGATTCTTTTTTTCCTGTTTCTTTTTAATTGTATTCCAGTTTTGCTAAAATTAATCATGACACAAAGGGCAGTCATCCAATGTTGTGGCAGCCATCAAATGAGAAAGTAGGTGCAAAACATGACAAAGCTGAAGCAGCCTCTGTTTCTCCTACTTTTACCATTTAATTACTGCATGGCTTTAAACTTCAACTAACCAACTGTGGGTACTCCTCAGAAATGGGAAGAGAAGGGGGAGAATGCCACTAGGTCTTTGGTATATCACTTGTTTGAAGGAAAAAAAAGAAACATGTCAGTATTTGATGTTAAATAGTTGTTAATGGCTGCACTTACTATGATTATTATGTTACTCTTCAGGTATGAAGCTCTGTTTCCACTGGTGCTATCTGGTTTGATGTTTGTGTGGATAAATATGGAGCAAGAAGCACTGCAGCACTATGGTCTTTCACTCAAACCAAAGGTAACAGCTCCAGATAGCAATATCAGGTTAATTATCAGCTTTATCTTTTTTTGTCCTTGAGGATATAATAAATATTCTGTGTGGTTTTCACAGAGCAACACTTTGCATTTCTTTAAGTTTGGGAAGCCAGTATCAGCTGTTTTATGAAATAGGAATGTGACCTTGTAGGAGAGATTTATAATGTATGTTATTGAAGATATTCCACATCAGAGCCATTTCTAGGAATGCAGGAAATGAGTTTGACTTAGTGGTATGTTCTGTAGGCTACAAAGCTCTGTTTATCAAGTGTAGTGCTAATTCAACATAAGGTACAGTAACTCTTTAAAGTAAGTACAATGTCACTGTACTTTTTTTATTCTGATGGCAGAGTCACGAGTGAGAGGCTGAAAAGAAATAATTTGATTTCTGAAATGACCCATAGGAAATACTAGAAATCTTAGTTTGACTTTGTCCTTCTACTCTTTCTTCAAGGGCGGAGTTTTATTTCTGATTAGACAGACAAGGAGCTGGAGACTAACTTGGAACTAGCACCTTCTCGGATTTGCCTGGAGAGGGAGTTTTGTAATCAATGCAACTTCTTTCACCTTAAAATTTAGTATATTGTCAGCAATTTTCAAAGCCCATGCTGCTCGCACTGCTACTTAGTTTTTAGATTAGGTCAAGGGTTAACAAACTGTGGCTATGCCATTGATTTGGTTAAATCTGAAGTGCTGGTTGCAGAGTTGTCTGGGTGCTTGGAGCCAGGCAGGTGTGCAGCACAGCTCTCCCCCCCTTCTCCCAAATGTGCTATCCTTGGTGCAGGTCACAGAGAACCTGGGTACAGATGCATGGGTGTAGCCAGAGTCACTTGTAAGAGAAGTGGCAGTACACATCTTTCCTTCCTTTTGCAGCTCATAATAATTAGGGAGAAGTGCTGGGAGGTGAAATCTGAGACAAGTCAGTCACCAGAGTGGACCTGACACATACTGTGGTTTTGCAGTTCTCCTGCAAGGGAGACCGTTTTAAAACTTGAGAGAGAACAGGCTTTACCAATTCAAGGCTGAATATCAGAAATGAAAACAGGAATCGCTTTTTATTTATGCTATGTGTAGTTATGATACTTTGTGTGAGCATGTTTTGTAGCATCTTAAGTGATAGAGAAGGAATCTGAATGTAAAAATGTATGCTTAGCATGAGGCCATGATTGCAGCCAGAGGTTTCTAGCACAGCAGAGTCATGTGTGGGATGTACTTTCTCTTCCACTCTAGAACCCACTCTACCTTTTGCATCTTGTAACAAGGCATCTGTGATGCTTCCCTGTCTGATGGTGGTCTGATACTCTGTTTGCTTTAAAATAAAATTCTATTAAAGCAGTATTAAACAGTGATGAACACTTTATTAATCAAATGCAAATGAAAAGAACATAGGTAAGCTGTAATGAAGTTTTCTGTTGTCACTCCCTGTATGTCATTTGACTTTTGGTTTCAAGTGAAAGAAACAATAATGCTTACCTCTGCTTCTTGTTTTTAGGTTAGAAAAATCATCTCTACAATGCCTGTTAATATATGCCACAAAGTAAATCTTGTATTAGAGAATACAGCTGAGTTCTCTGATGGTGTGAGATTATTTTTAATTAAAATGTTGTCAGTGTTGAATGTCTATTACTTTAATTTTTTATTTTCCCCAGTGAAAAGGAGTTCACTGACCTCTTAAACTCCATGAAGACAATTTTTCTTCAGGTCAAGTGATACTGTGCTGAGAATTGAGTGAAGGAGAATATTTTAGTATTCTCACTCACAACATAAGTCAACTGAGGATAATTGTAGTCTTTTATTTCTGTGGGTCTTTATCCACATGCTCATGTAAGCAGTGGAAGTGTGTAGGAGGAATATTTATAATGAAAAAAGATGATAAGTCTATGGCATAGAAGTTCATTTTTAGTGTAGATAACAGCGGAAGCTCCACTATTCATTTGATCATCTCACTTGTACAATCTTTTGGCAGAGTCATTAAAGTATAATGAAAATATGGGAAGGGTTTGCAGTTCTCATCATACTACTACTCTAATAACAGCTGATAGGGAAGTAGGTTTATTTCTCATTCACTTCAGTAAAAATAGGTGGTTCTATCAAAGTACATCAGTTGATATTCAGTATTGATTTCTTCTGCTATCTTTCCAGCTTGCTGTTTTCAACTTTGCCTATGCTACTGATATAACTCAGTTTCGACAGCTCCACCTAGATGATGTCCGCAGGTCTTTCTTCTTTGTATCCTTTTGCTGGTTGCTGCATTCCAGAGAGAAGATGGGTTTGTTTCAAAAGGCCCCGCAATCATAATTTGGTAGCCACTGGAAACAGAAGCTGATGAAGATGATTTGACTCGTGTTGCTCAAAAGACAATGGTCTTGTACATTATGGTTTTTGATAAAGTAGTAAAAAATCCAGTACAAGCTGCACTCTTTTGGAGTCTGGCTCCTTGGCGACTTTGAAAAGTTTGGTCTCTTACGACCATTACAGTTGAGGTAAACTTTCTTCTAAGGAGTCCTGTTTTCAGTTTGGTTTTGTTTTATTACATTTTGGCTGGAGGGAACTCATTGAACCTTCACAAATCAGTTGGAAAAGGTGATATTAAAGTTATTCTCATTTTCTTATTTTTAGAATATGGCAGTCTGTTAGGAAGAAAATGTTAGGGGGCAGGCATTGGCCAGGCAGATGAGATGAGAAGGAAAGTTCCTGCGGACTCTTAGTGAAATGTGTTCCCAGAATCTGGCCTAGAATTATTTATATCACACGTGGTTTCTGCTGTTAGAAATTATATGGGCTTGGGAGGGAAGAGCTGTTTGTTCACTAGCATGGCAGTTATTTTGCATTACTGTAACCGAAACTACAGCTGATTTTTTTTTTTTTTTTTTTTTTTTTTAAATACCGTACAGACTTGGTAACATTGTCATTTTTCTATTCCATCATGGGACTGCAGTTAAGTGAGAGGTATTTGGAAGCAAGGGTGATGGGTGTGCAAGTGAGAGAGAAATTATGAGCCAGTCTAGAACATATGGGTTTCTAGTGCAGGTGGGTTATCATAGCTGGAGCTGGGGAAGGAGTTGTCTCAATACCGGTTCCTGCAAAAACAGGCTTTATAGTCCGTAGAATAACCAAATCTGAGAGGGTGGATCACAGTCGCGGAGTCTATGCTGTTGCAATTTGGGACAACGCTGTTGGACATTGGGAACCTGCAGCAGAGGAAGTGTGAGGGATACCTCATTAAGAAGACAGTTCAGCGCTAAGGAAGGAGGCAAAACAACTTGCTAGGTGTTGAACGTTTGTGTTTGCTTTAGAGTATACCTGAACAGCAGCTGACACACCTTGCAGTAAATTTATCAAATTCATTTGCTGTTTTGCTATTTTAACAAAAAATAAGCTTTTAGTAAAGCTACTGCTGTCTGTCAGATGCTAAAAATGAGCCAAAACAAAAATCAAACAATCCAATGGTATTTTTTAAAGCTCCAGCATAGTACTACTTTAATCTAACACTTGAATGTAGCACTAGTTTAATGTCATCTTAATCTAAAACATTTGAATGTATTTTGTTCAGCTCATGAAAAAATACACAATCTTGCAGGTCTCCTTTGCAGTGACCAGGTGTGATACATGCCTGCTCAAAAGATGTTGTGGCTTTTTTAATTTAGATGCTGTTTAATGTTTAAAAATAGTGGTATTAGAAGAGAAACCTTTTCTGCTAGAGCAATCACGTTGCAACTACGACCCTGTGAGCTGTATATCTTGTCTCAAGGTTACTATATAGGGCCCAAAAGTCAGCATGTGCTGAGGGACCTTATAGCCTGATCTTCCAGAATAAGATTCAGATTGCTTATGCTTAGCATTTTGATTAGACCTATGTGCTACTGGTAATTTTTTTGTTTTATTGCGGAACTGTTGTTCTTATAAATCTTAACTGGCAGAACTGCGCTATGCTGTTAGACTGCTGTGTTACTAAACTTGAAATGATGTGATACTCTTGGGAAGCATAATTTCTTTAGTTATGCTGACCTAATCCTTCCAAAATATTGCATGCAGAATCCCAACAATTCTGCTGAACAGTTGGTAGCAAATTGTTTATGCAGATACTTAAATGATCCAGTGCAGGAGCTATAACAGGAGTGGAAGGACCAGAGGGAGCTCTGGCAACAGCAGCCATCGTCACTGACTAACCCTCTGCCTGATGCAAAAGAGCAGTTAAAAATTGTTCTTCGACTGAAGAGATGTGAGCTACAATGGTCCCCAATGAGCTCAGGAGGTAGAAAAATATCTTTCATGGGCTCATATAGCAGCAAGTGTTGTACCTAGATGAAAAGGGTAGGGTTTATAAAAAAACATCCAGCTATATAGATACTGCGAGAGTCATCCTCCCTCCCTCAAGTAAGGAAAAAAAACTGGGAGTCCTGTTTTGCAATGGATAGACTCAGCATAACCTTTGGACAACAAACCTATGGGAGGGATAGCATAGGAACCTTTAGTCTTGTTTCATAGCCAACTACCTCTTCCACAGTCAATTCCTCAATAAAGCCATCTCTTTTGGTGTGCAGTACACATGCATACGTCATTACTTTCTGCAAAAGCATGTGTGTTTGAATGCACAGCTGAGATTGTGGTCCAGGTATGTTCCTATCTTGCTAAGCAGGGGCCCAGAAAAAACAAGTGGCAGCTTTCTGGCAGGGGCTTCAAGACAGGCTCTAAAATCTTACCCAGGCAGTCCCTGTCTTTTAAAATTGACGTAGTCGTGTGCGAAATCTTGGGTAGAGCTAGACAATACTTTGGATTTCTTAATGCAATGTAAAGCTAGTGGGTGGGTCAGCTTCTTGTAGTTTCATGATAGGATTTTGAAAGTAAATTGGAACAAATGGGGGAAAATGCTCGTTTTGTTTTACTGCAGCCATTTCTGTGGTGTATTTTCCTTAAATACATTTAGGTTTTCTTCATAGTGACAGCCTTTTTTGGCACCGGAAACATAGCTTCTGTTAACAGGTAAATTTTATTCATTGACTTGAGACACAGGGTACAAAAATTCTTCCTGCAGTTGGTGTACTGAATATAAATTTGATTAGCACAATCAGGGCAGCAGAATTAAAGCAATAGTCAGTGGAATAATGATAACAATTTATTTTTTCTGCTCTCTGTAACGTGTTCCCTAAGAGCCTGAGCTTGTTGGTTACGAGGTCGTCTCAATTTCCATTAGAAGTTATTGGCAGTGTGAGCAGAGAGAGCTCGGCTGCTCACCAACAGCACGGCACCTCGAAAGACACGAGCAGAGAAAAATTGTAGAGAAAGAAAAGTGAGGTAGGCTGTCCTTGCTAATTTAATATCTGAGCAAGAGAAGAGAAAGTTGGAAGCCTTGTTTAAAAATGTATATACGCAGAGTGTGTTACAGAGTAACTAAATGCACTGGTTTTTTAATGGAAAATGCCATTTCAAGGATATGTTGTAATGTCTTTTTCATGTTTCTCTAGTTTTGATCCTGCTTCTGTCTATTGTTTCTTGACTGTGTTCAGTCCCTTCATGATGGGAGGCTTGCTTGTGCTAAAGGTTAGTAATCTTACCTTAGTGAAACCTTCTCAAAGAACTGTTTAATAAATATCGTATCATGTACACGATTGTTACTTCACAATTTACAAAAACATATGTATGTATTTGAGCTTCATTAGCCTTCTTAACCATGTGTGAAGCTTTCAGCCTTTGTAGTGTTTCTAGAGACGGATCCTTCTGTTTCCCAAAAGAGAGAAGCTAAAGTACCTGGAAATATAGTTTATCCTTCTGTTTCCCAAAAGAGAGAAGCTAAAGTACCTGGAAATATAGTTTAACTGCATTAGATCGGTTTATTGTATTAAAATGGAAATTTTAAATGTTGAAAAAACTTAAATTATTTAAAAAATTATAAGCTTTCCCTATAGTATAGTATCTACAGAAACATTGAGGATATGTCTATTTTATTAGCTCTATCTACATTACATTAAGTACAGGCATTGAATGCTCTACTGATTAGGTTGTCATTTTACAATGGATATTATTTTTTATAATTTTTAATAGTCTAGCAAAGATTGGATTGCAATTCTTGTTTACAGGCAAGGTGTGGGAGCTCTTTTCTAATATTTGAGTAAAGGATCTACCAGAGGGGTAAAGAGGCAAACAGGAAGGCAGGCAGACATGGAATTTATGGATTATTGCTAAAATAAGCAGTATTTCCTGCTGCTTCTGTCCCAGAGAAAGCAGACTTAAGTTACAGGTATACTGTGTGTTATACTGCAGGACATAAGTCAATAATGCAAACCTTCTGGATGCAAGAGAACAGGTTTTAGCAATGCTTTTACGCTACTAACTTAAGGATTACAAGTCAACTTTGGAAAGAGCAAAAGGCAACATTCATGTTTGTGACTTGTTTGTTTGGTTTGTTCTTAATTTACTGATCTGTTTGCATTTGCTTAACTTGGCTTTGGAGGGGCAGTGTGATCCTTGCCTTACTGAATACATTCTATATTCAGGGTTTTTTTTGTGGTTGAGATGAGATTGTCCTCTTACGCTTGGAGCTCTGCAGCCTGTTACATGAGATATTGGATCTGAATAGTTCTGTCTTCTAGCCTTGTTGAAGTATTTATCACTAGTGCTAAAATGGATAAATGAAGTGAGGATCATTAATGTGTTTTAATTACAGTTTTCCATATTGCCTCATGGCTTATTTCACTGCAGTTCAGCTATGACCATGGAAGGGGTTTTTTATTCATTTACTAAACATGCTTTCTGCAAAATGACTTTCTACCTTTTCTTGCCAATATTTTATTTTTGTAACATACACATTCTGTGATAATTTCAAAAGCAGGAAAATGTTTCCATAACCTACCAGGTTGTTTTGTAAATATGGCTATAAACCAAAATGTAACTTGTGTTTTAAACAGGTTGTAATCCCATTTGTTCTGGTATCATGTGCTTTCGAAGCCGTTCAAGTCACAACACAACTGTCTTCTAAGAGGTACAGTAAGTGCTATATTTCTGCATTAGTAAGGGTTTTGCAAGAATTCAGAATTGTCAAATCTCAATCTAAATTTAAAAACAACAGTAGATCACATTGTTGCTTTTATTTGTTATTATGGTTTGGGTTTTTGCTCACTGATTTTGCAAGCTCGGGAATTCTTTTCTTAGTGATAAATGAGTATAAATGGAAATGTTGGCCCTGTCTGAAACAATCAGATATTTAATATTCTTTGCTGACAATACGCAGAAGGAGCACTTTTCTCCCCATAATGTAGAAAAATGAGCAGAATTTAAAGTCTGATTTTTGTTTTAAATTGCATCTTTGCCTACAGTACAATATTTTAAAAATAACTCATTTATAATGTAACCAATTTACAACTTTGTAGCACTGACCTCACCACAAATAGCATTTAAAAAAAAGGCTGTATGACCTTCCATTGCAGTTCAATGCTTCACAGGTGTGTTCAGTATTACATGTTTTTTGCGGTAGGACTAGATGGCTGCCAGTCCTTTCTCCATCTCCAAAGACTTTTCAGAGAGAATGTGGAACGGATGCCCAGCTTCGCAGAGTGCTGTATCCGGACTTGAACTACCCTCACTCTTTTCACTGTCTCAAGATTTTTATTTTTTTAACTGTTAGCCCTCCCTACCCCTTTCAGTGCACCCGGTGCACATGACTGAATCCTCTGCCCATCATGTGGGATTACGAATGGTGCTGAGACGGAGGAGGTCCCTGTCAGCCACATGGTTTTGAGTTTGTCACTGTGGGATGTTGTGTGGGGTTGACCGAAAGTCTCGCTGGACAGTGGCAGGGGGACCACAGGATGTCTGTCCTGCATATTGCTCAGCTGAGCAGAAGGAAGCTGCCTTTGCTCAGTGTGATGCCCTCTGCTTTTCTGTTTTTCATCCTGCCTGTGCCCTACCTGTTGTCTCCTTATACAGTGCCACCCCGTACTAACGAGGGTCATGGCAGCCTGAAATCTGACTTCTTGCTGGAGAGGAAGCACAAGGCTCACCATCCTTTTACCTTCTCTACCTTAGCTGTGCGTGCAGTGTACTTGGGCTGTCCCTGGACCCCCCAAGGAAGTATATTCATGCTCCTCACTAAGGCTTATACAGAAGCAGGGCTGCGTTGAGGAATCAGGGTTGCTCAGAAGACTAGCTAGTGATTTACATTTCTAGGGCTCAGGCATCATAAAGGTCACCATTTCCTAACTTGTGAACGCTTGCCTTGGCAGCACCAGTGATATTGCAAGCTTTTATGGAATGTGCATCTGAGTGTGTGAGAGGGGAAATGATATCAACTTCTTAAATCAGGGGACATGAGTACGTCTGTGCAGCTTTACGAGGCTGTGATTGTAACTCCGGCTGGTATTTGTACTGGCTTCATTTAGTTGTGCTCAGGTAACAATAGCAGCGATACCGGCACAGTATCAGCCTGGGAACAAGGCAGAAACCACAAGATGTGCCCAGGATCCCTGGAGAGGCTGTGCTCTGATTGTCAGTGCATCCTGAGGTCTGTGCTGCACTCTTTATTGCCTTTGCTGCCCCTGCTAGATAAATTAAGCCATCACAGGGGACAATCTTGTCTTTGTAGTCTATAAATGTGCCCTGAAATTAGTGTTGTCCTTCGTTGTGAAAGGCTTCCTGCAGTTCAGAAGGGCAAAAAATAGATTTTTGTGATTTGGACAAATTGCTCCTAAACTCCCCGTTTACAGATTAAAGATTTTTTTTTTTTTTTTTTTTTCCCCCCTGTTTGTGGGGAATATTCTGTCAGAATATGTTCTTGGAGCTTGCCTGTGAAAACAGCCCTCTAGTTGAATGCTTCCTAGGCACTACAAGATTGCAACATCTTATCTGAGCTATAGGGAAACGGCGAGAAGCCTTTCAGTGCGTCTGAGATACAGTTGGTTTGTGCATCCTTATTTACTAATGAAGCATAGCTGACGTAGGCAATATCAGAAACTTCCTCATCAGAAGGCATTGGTATGGGTGTCCCCCCAGTACATGCTTATACAACTCTGCAGCAGGACATTTTCTCAAAAAAAACTTCATGGATTTATGATGGTAGTACTAATAAATTAACTGTATTCTAGTTAAAGACTTTTCTGTTAATGGGTCAGCTGTTTGCAACATTGCTTCAGTGTCATTAACTTAGAAACTAGTTTTAACCAGTTATAGCAATTGCTTTCATGTAATTTAGGATTTACATAGTTTAATGAAAAGAAGATTAGGTTAATGGGGAGGGGAAATAGCTCTGTGTGCTCCCTTTGGTTCCTTTTACTGGCCGCAGCCTACTTTGCAGAAGTAACCTGCCGCCTGACAGAGAGGCCCGTGGGTTTGGGAGCATGCCACCAAAATGCTGGGCTTTCCCAGAGCAGCTTACGGGCACCCAGAGATCTGGAAGCGGGGTAAGCACCTTCTTTGGCAGCCTCCTACCCAGCAGGGTGGTTGTCAGGGTAGGACCGATTGGCTCAGGTATCTGTCTGCCTATGCCAAACATCTTTGCTCACTCTTGAGTCCATCTTGAAGCTTCTAAATCAGCTTTATTTGGCCTAACCGGCACATGAGCTCCCTGCATCAGGAGTAGGCAGGTGCTGTTTGTAAGATGCTCTTGTTCTCCAAAAAATGACTTGTGTTAGGTTTCTCTGTTGCAAAATTGAAACTGTTGATGTGAAATGTCTTTTTCAAGCAGGGTGGGATTACAAATCCCAGATGTCCTAGTCGTATATTTTAACTGTTCTCTAATACATTGAAATGTATCTGAGTGATTGAAAGGCAAGTGCAAAAAATCATCTTATTTTAATTTCTTTATGGGGGTTTTAATAAGCTTTGTAACATCTGTGGCAATAAATAAAGGTTGATGATCTGTGTTTTTTTTTTTTTTCTTTGCAGCCTTTTCCTCATTGTTCTTGTGATTTCAGACATTATGGCTTTGGTAAGTTGTTGTTGCACATTCTCTTCAAATAAGATCAAGAAGCAGAGGGTTCTCCTAATTCCATCTAGAGAGATCTGAATTTGTTTCAGACTTCAAAGTTTTTGTAACTAGGGCAGTGAATTGGATTGCAATCCTAGCATAATTTAGAGATAAAACTCCTGCAATCACGACTCTTTGAATTTCATGTAATTAATGCTTCTGAAGAAGCAATATTCTCATAACAATAAGAGACAAAAGTGAAGTAATAATTTATCACTCTGAGTTTTTCATGTGCTTTCCAATCAAATTCCTAGGAAGAATTTAAATGAGAATATCAGTTTTAGCTGTGTGCAGGGTTTAGTTAATTTTCAGGAATTCTGAACCTTTTACTTGCCCCACCTTCACTTGAAAAAGAGAGGAAAAGGAGAAATGCGTTACCCACCAGCTCTGTTAGAGTTGTCAGAATCCAGGAGATCAGAAAAAGACACTTTGTGTCCTTTGTGCCCTTTGTAATAAGCTGTTAGGAAATGCTATCTTCAGAAAGCTTGCATCCACAAAGCAAGCTAGCTAAAACAATCTGAAGCTGAACAATACCCCAAAATAATTTTTTACAAATTAAATGTACATTTTCGTTGCCCCCTCAAACTGTCTTCAACCCAGCAAGCAGTGCCACTGGGTATCACAAGATCAACAGAAAACTTTTCAAAGCAGCAGGTAGAGCTGGTGTTCTCACTTCGTACATGCTGGTTTAGTTTCGTCCCTTTGGAGTAAGCATTGCTGATGTGATTTCCTTGTATAGTGTGATCTGTGGATCTCACTTGATAGGAAAAACAGTGAGTAAAAAACCGAATAATGACTAATTTGTCTGCAGAGTGAGAAATGGAGAAGGTGTAGTTTTGTGTAGTTTCAAATAAATCTGTGTGACTAATCTGATTTTTGATAACTTCCACAGGAAGAGGATTAAAATACCAATAAAGCACACTCATAGCATTTCACTAATAAAATCAGTCTAAGTAGACTAAAAGAAGAGTGCAGGCATGTACTGGTGTGTAGCAAGCCCCAGTATATCCAGATCTTATATCTCAAGTATTCTCCTATTTTGGTTTAACTATTTTAAAACAATTAGCAAATATGTACTTGGTGTACAAAACAAAATATTACCAAAGAGGTGTGATATGCAGGAGCTGTGTGTTTATCAAGAAATGAGAAAGCTGGCAGGAAAAAAAAAAAAAAAAAAAAAAGAAAGAGAACTGGTTTGCGGTTTTGAATCAATGTGGCCACCAGCTAGAATCTGGGGGATTCACTAATAAACAAGTGCTGTCTTCTCCCAACATTATTCCCTTTTTACAGGGGAACTGCCAGAGTTGCCCAAAGAAGTTTGTGGCGGAATTCCATGAAAACAATATGCAGCCTTCTCTTTGGCACTAGGTCTTATTTGGGATCCTGTTATTTCAAACAATAAGGTGGCTTAGCTTTTCTTATTGAAAAAGTTCTCTGCTGGTAATCTACTGTTTCTTGCAAGCCCAGCTTGACAGAACTTAGTCCATCTTTAGGTGTTTGTGTTTGATACCATATTAAATCTATTTCTGGCTTCTAGACTGTTCTTTACTTTGGTCCAAATGAGCATTCCTGGAAAGGTCTTGCCCTTGTTCTACTTGAAGAATTAGAAACTTGGAGTAAACAGCCTGAACACATGGGTTTTAATTTTGCATTTCAAATTGTGCAATGTTGATGTACTAATCAACGCTGTTTTATTTCCTAGCATTTTTTCTTTTTAGTTAAAGATTATGGAAGCTGGCTGGATATTGGAACAAGGTACAGGTTTTTTTTGCCTCCATTGCATTTTTAAAATGCTCGTAGGTTAATATTGTTGTTTATCTACTCAGAACTCGTGTAATTTTTGCCAATTACTCTCCTTAATCAAATGCGTCAGTGATGTTCCCCATACTTAAAATGCATGTGCATGCATGTGTGCGCACATGTGTACATGTATATATATCCCAAGCTAAAACTCGTTTCTTAAAATCTGTGTCAGAGCAACATGGAGTAAGTAATGACTCTAGCATGACAAGAAATACAGTTAGTAGGATTTGTTTGATTTCTAAAGAACAGTAATTATACAAAAAATATTTTAATTACTGTTTTGCATTTTAATTAATTGTAATCACTGTTAACAATTTTGATAGATTGTTATTTTAATTGCCTTGAATCTAGTTAATCCTCCATATACAATCCCCTGTGAATTAATGAACCTTGTGCAAATATGTTGGTGGCTATCAAGACCCATGCATTTATCCTTCCTCTAGTTGGGGGAGAGTAAATCTGTAGCATTTAAACATAGAAAACAGCTAAAATGAGAGAATTTGTTTTGCATTATGAGTCGTACTAGGCTCCACAGCATATATCATGGGGTAGGTTTTCAACTGTGCAGTCTTATTTGTGAACAGTCTACAAATAACGAATACAGAGCATACACATTTCAGATTTACCTTCCCTGAGTTGTGAAAGTAGATAATATGCTGTAATAAGTGTAGTAGGGAATGTGTTGTTAATAATCCAGCCAGTGTGGTCACTTGACACTATTATTTAAACAGAAGTTGAATAGTGACCCATTGTCAATATTCTCTTTAGTCTTCATTTACTCTGTGCTTTGCAGAACCCCAGCATTCCCTCCAGTGCATACATGCGTGTACACATGCGTGCACACGTATTCTGCCTGTTTTCTTTGGACGTTCAAATTCGTGCTTGTACCTGCCTTTTGAAGGTTCCTAATGGGAGGAGATACAGTTAGATCAAATAGCGGAAACGATGCTTTAACATCACACTTCCTTGCTATGGTCAGCTTATGGTAAATCAGATGGCCTCATCCTTTGGTTTGAATTCCTATGCAGATTAATAAGGATATTAAAGACCTCAGAAAAGCTCTGTTCTGCTGGGCAAGAAGCTTTCTAATTGGGATTTAGCAAGCAAAAATATAAATCGTTACAAGTACCCGAAAACTTCCTCTCTGGTATACAGTCTTCATAGCATAGAGATTTACAATGGTGATAAGATTGTTGGATCCATTTCAGCTGGAAGTTTGCCTTATCCCAAAGAGTTTAGGGCAGCTCATTATGCACAACTGTAATTCTGCCTCTTCATGTGTGTGTGTGTTTTGAGCACTGAAGAAAGCACTGAAAAACTCCTTTCAAAAGAGTAATTTGTGATTAATTTTTAACGTGGTAATGCATAATGCTTAGGCAGCCTTAAATTTGTCATTACTTCGCTTTTGAGTGCTTGACTTTGCCACCTACACTATTTTACTGTAGTCTCTTTATATATGTTTTATATGTACGTGTGTATATGCACATAAGATAAAAATGACTAGGTCGTGTAAGAAAAGAGGTGAAGTCATAGGCGCAGAGCTGAAGTGGTCCTTCTTTTACCTAGCATGAGCAATATTTTAGCGCCTGAACCTTCTCTTCTGAGCAGATTTCTAATGTGTGATCCTCAAGCTTGGCAAAATTAGCAGGCAACAGGAGAAGATTTTGTTGTTTGTTTGTTTATTCCTGAAAGGGAAGATGAGCTTCACGGGGTTTTGGGCTATTCCCAAAACCAGTGGGAGAGAGATACTGACATGGCTCTTTCCTGTCCTCCTGTTACAACTGCGGTGACAGCTCTGTAGCATTCCCATTGTAGTGTTGTCTCTTGTTGCTTTGACAGCAAGGTCTGAAAATATTCCATCTCGGTTGCCATTTTAGGTGTTGCCAAAATTTTCCTGAGAAGGCTGAGTCAGTTAAGGAAATGACGGTTCTTTTTTTTGCAACTGTTTGTATCTCAACAAAGCCTGTGTAGGATTTCATGGAACAAAGAATAGGAGCGCCCTTAGGGACAGCTGCTCTCATCTTTTTTTTTTTTTTTTTCCCCTTTTTTTTTTTTTTGTAGCACTGATAGGAAGTGTGTATTTGCGCGTGCAATTGTCAGGGTTCGTTTTATATTACTAGTTACCACATCATTGAAATCACAGGTGGAAAAGCAGCAATTTAATTGCCCAGTGAAGATTCATTCTTTTAAAGTCTGTCAGAGTCCAGTGGTATATGTGCCTCATTTGCAAAGCTTCTGATGTATATTTCCCTACTCATTCTTTCTTGTGGTGATAGCTTTCTATGGATTTTCTAATTACCACGCTTCAAAACTTTTGTATGTCCTCTCTTTTACTAAGAATGTGCAAGTTCAGTAGGAAGCCCTCATTAGGCAATACTTGGGTTTTTCAATACCAGTCCTCAGAAGTTTCATGTGTAAGAGCTCGTTTTTCCCTTGTGATAAAAAGATGACCTTCACTGCTGTTTTATGGTGATGTTTTGTTTCCTAGTGGATCTCTCTCACTGTTTGGAAGCAGGGCTTGTTTACTGAACTTACGTATTTTCCTTTTTTTTAATTTCACCCCTAACTCCTGGCTTTTACATTTCATTCTACCACGCCTTAATCACATTACATGTCGTTTTACTGTGCCTCATATCTGCCTTGACAATGTGATGTCTTTATTCCCCCAGTTGAATTCACCATGACACTTAAGTATTGTCTTTGAATGTAAAGAGATTTCTATTTTTCCCACTCTTCCAGATCATAATGAAATGCTGAGCAACAACAGATCCAACATACAGTCCTGTATTACCACATTCAGCAAATTATCAATGCACCATTGATTTCCTCCTCTCAGTAAATTATCAATTACCATAAATATTTATGGCTTCTTAGAAAGTTTTCAAGCCCCTTTGCTTATGGTCATGCCAAGATCAATGTGAACTTGTTTTTCAGAGAGTGCTTTTCGTTGTTTTGATGTAATAACAGGATAATAATCTTGCAGTGAACACGGAACTCATAGCAGTGGCTTACGCAAGCTTCTGAGGTCTGCTAACCTTCCCATCTACCTATGTATCTTGAGGTCACCCTAAATTGCATCATATGCCCTAGAAGAACACACCATTACATTTCATAAAAATAATAATGCAGTTTTCCTAGTATTTTTGATGTATCAGTGTGTAGTACGTGATCATGAGAAGTTTGTTCTGACAGATTCTTTTATTTTTGAATAAGAGAAAAATGGAATAGCTAGCTTTTCGGCTTCATTGTCACTAAAATAATTTCTCTATGACTTAAAAGGTATGTTTATCTATCTCTATCTATGGATCTCTATAGATAGAGAAATATAGCCTTTAAAGCCTACTATATCTATACAGTATATGCAATTTGTAAATAGCTGTATATTCAGATAGTCAAGATAAACTCTGAAGCTTCTTTATAGGACAGTATTATATAGTTTTATACAGACGCATACTGCACTACTCCCTCCCTCTTTTTATAACAGTTGCTGGAAGATAAAGAGAAAGATACAATCTTAAGTGTTCTGCAGTTTCAAAGTGCAGAGAACATAGATAAAGCACAGAAGACTGTTTTTTAGGTTTTAGGATAACAGAATCAGTTTCAGGTTTGGGATGCTGGGACTTCTAGGCCTGACCATTAAAACAAAGGTCTTGTAAGTAGGAGGAAAACGGTGTTTACCAACAATTTCTAAAACAGGAGCTAGGAGTGATGTGCTTTGTGATTTGTTTTGTGTGAAACAGAGGAGACAGTGTGTGGGATCCCGGCTGGAAATGCAATGGACTTAAAACTCAGAATCTAAATCTGGGGTCTCAGTGTGCGCTTCGGAACAATCCCACAGTTCAAAGTAGCATGTAGTGTAGAAATAAGGTCCTCGGACTCTTCTGGAAAGTGCTCTTCCAAGTCCTTGCATGAACTGTTTTTGTTTTACTTGTTTTATTTCTAGCTATTTAATTGCTATGGTAACTTACTCCATCTTCCTGTCTTCCCAGCTTCTAATCAGATCTGCTATCTTAGGAATTAGCCTGTCTTGGGAGAAAGCTGTGTTTTGGAGCAAGATTGATTCCACCCCACCCCCCTCATTTTTCACTGATCTTTGATTCTTCTTGACTTTGATTAGTACTTCTCACGGATGTATGCTGTCACAAGCAAAGCCATGAGATGGTAGTACCTCATATGTTCTCCTTTTGGTTCCTTGCCACCGAAACAGGTGTCTTCCCCCCTGATACAACATTTTCCTAGCACCAGCTTTGCCTGTTGACCTTGATCCATACATAGGGTACTCACCTTTCCATTGAACAGTGCTGCCTTACCTTAGATTATCCGTGATCCCCTACACTGGCTACCTCTTCTCTACCATTACCTGTCCCTGCCCATCTCATCCTTTATAAGCATTGCCCCACTGTGTCCCACTATGCTATTCTCTTGTACCTGTTTAATGTCTCTTCTTCCTCCACATGGATATAATTTGCCTGGAGCCTAGAATTTGCTCCTTTTTCTTATTAGCTCAGGTTTGACTTCTGAGGGAGGAAGCTTGTTTTGAGAATTACCTGCTTCACTGTAACTACAGATCCAGCCAAGGGTGCAGTTCTGGGTAGTATAGGGATCAAGATTTTGCCACTGCTGTTGTGGCATATACCTGCAAGAGTCTTGCTTTGTTTGTTTGTTTAATTACAGCATTACCCCAGCCTGAGAACTAATTTACCAAGCAGAGCTGCCTGCAGGCACTGCAGTACCAGTTGCTGATAGCCCCAGAGATGCTGGCTGTTTGTAATTATGTGACAAGTAGACTGAAATGGTTTTTAAATGTGCTCTATGGCATAATATATGTATATATTTCTTTACTCTGAACATCTGATAGTTTAATAAAGGAGCATAAGTATTCAGCCTTTTGCAATATAGCAAGGGAGAAGTGCGTGCAGCACTTTCTTCTTTACAAAAGTACAGAGGACCCAGTCCCTTGACTGACAGGTAGCTAAGCAGAGTTTGTGGAGGCTTTTTGCCTGTGAGAAAGCCCCTCCCTATGCTCTATCCCAAAATAATTGATAGCACCCACATCTGGAAAAGCTCCTTTTGGGGCAGACAGGAACTCAGATGCCTGTGTAAGGACCATGCTGTTGGCAGCAAGTCACTGATCCACTGGTCACTCAGGGTGTCTGTAGGAATAAAGGCAGGGTCTTCATTTGGCTTCTGATTTTCAGATTTCTCATTCAAGCTTTCTTTGAAAGCTAGAAGGAAAGTGGTGTGGCTACTTACATGAAAAACTGCAATTCTGGTGCCAGGTGAGAAGGAAAGTTGAGGTGTTACCAGTAATGCATGAGACATTAAGCCATCCAGCTATTTAGTAGGGTGGCTGTTCCCTTAAGAGCCACGCAAACTTCTGTACCTGTGGTGCTTGTACAGTCCCCAAGGACACGTTACTCCATGAAGATAACTGCAAGGAGGGTTTGACTTTCAGTTGGCAACATGTCCTTTCCCATGGAGAACTGAAACTGAGCCTGTAACACGCCCAGGTGGACTTCCAAGGGCAGCTCTTGAGGGAGTTGTGTTATCTTTGTTATTGTAAATATGCTGTGAACTACGAAGTCCAAAGTGCACTGACCAGGTGAAAGTATGGTTTGTGCCTGACTTCATGCTCTCACTGTGTCATCTTACATGTTCCCCACAGAAGCAGAGCAGCAGTATGGCTCTCATAGGTGTGCTGTCCTGCTTAGCTAAAGCTGGAGGGGGGAGATGCTTATAGGAAAGGCATGTAGGAAAGATGGCTTCTGTCTGATATTTTAAACCTTGAGTTGTTCACATTAGTGAATATTTTCAGTTGCACTGTGTACAGGTGGCAGTTTACAGAGGTGCAAGCTGCAGGCTGTTGGGGGTGCATTATGCTTGTTGAGATCTGAGCCCATTTGTGCTCGTGGATTTTTGCAATTGATTTCTTAAAACTATGTATTTTGAGCAAGGTATTTGTGAGAAGGTTTAGTCAGACTCAACAGAAACAGAAAAATCTTGTAGCATGAGTCAAGTTCCTTTCAGTGTTCTCCATCGACTTTGGTCAGACCCTGGCTCCTTTAGTTGCTGGTATCCTGTCTGTGGAAGAGCTCCTGCTCATTAGTGAACTTTTTGGATTACTTTTATTCTCTCACATTGATTAACAGCCCAGCTTTGTTAAGAGCTGGTGCTTCTCCACTTCACAGAGCTGAATTGTGCTAGGCTAGCACCAGGGTTGTCACAGTCTCAGGATCGTGAGGATTGATAGCGTCGGCATTATGAGCTTTACTGTTCTTCCGTGGCTAAACTCTCAAACTGAATGAGTCCTCTGGCAGGAATTCCAAGTCCTTAAACCGGCAAGTGCTCCTTGCAATCCTTTTTTGTGACTAAACTCAGACTTCCTCAAGTCTGAAGTTACCCTACTCGTCCTAAAGAACCATCTGCTTTGAAATAGTGGAGATGAGTGCATCAGGAGGTGTGGGTTCCTCTCATGTCAGAACGCCAGTATCTTCAGTAGTCCCAGGAAAAAAACAAACAGCTGCACTGGATGCGTGATGGACATGGGTGCAGCAATGTTTTGTCTGCAACTCCAGCCTGAAATGTCACTGGATTTGGAAGAATTCTAATTTCTTAATGGCTACTGGTTTACATTAATAGCAGCTTGATTCAGACATTGAACACAAGGTGCTGAATATCCTAGGTCAGATTTCAGTCTGATCCTAAATGGCCCACCTGTAACACTAGCGAACATCAGGTACCAGAATTTGAGCAAGTGGAGGACAAGCTCTCTGCTTGTTATCCTTTTAATTGTTAGTGACTTAAGGACTTCCTAACCCAGAAGATGCATCTTCATATTGTGTTTGTTAGCCACTCTTGAACTCATTTGTTTAATCTCTTTGAAACCATGTGTTACCACAGCATAGAATTCCACAATTTTTAGAAATGTTGAGTGAAAAAGTAGTGGGTTTTTTTTCTTAAAGCTGCTCATCACTGGAATAGTGTTTTCTCTAGAAAATTGCGCTTCAGCTGAAATAAATATCTGAGTTGTCTTATTACCAAGGAATGTCTACCTCATGGCAAGTTCTCCCTAGATTCTGTGTTATCAGTTCACAGCAAACGGAAGTTTTGCGATGGTTTCAGTCACATACGTTGAATTACCCACTTGAATGAAAAATACACCCAGCACCTCTTACTCACTTGGTATATGCTCAGTTGTGTTTTCTATTGTCCCCACCATTTTATTTTGTCACAGACTTTGTTTTTTACACGATAGTGCTGCTATAATAGTTGTCTTCCAGGAGCAGCATATATAAAATGACATACTAGGCCAATAATTAGGCCTAGTTAAAAAGAAAAAAAGTACTCAGAGGGTTGTTTATATCGGGGCTGTTTTTTTACTCTGCAAATTTGCATTTTTCTCTCACTTCTTTTATCTGTCTCTTCCTTGCAGCATTAGCCACTATGTGCTGGTGATGTCATTGACCATATTTATGATGCTGATGAATGGACTGGCCCAGCTGCTAACTACAAAGAGACTTGAACTTTCCAGAAGGACTAAGCACCATTCCACGTGATAAAGCGATAAATCTTCCTGCCTTGTTCCTTGTTCCTGGTTCCTCAGGCTTCCTCTGAACCAACCTCCACCTCTGGAATGTAAATATAAGTTAACAGACTAGAGTGCCAAAATCCCATCCAGGGATCAGAGAGCTCTGCTGATACAGGTTAAATGCTGTCCCGTGACTGAAATTTGCATTTGGAGATTGCCATTTAGACATCAATGGGGCTAAAAAAGCCTCAGCTTTATTCTCCAAGTGTACATATTTCTTGAAAATAAAAACAGTAACAAAGTCCTTTTTAAAAGAAATAGGCAGCCATCTTTTGGGGTTTTTTTTCTGGTTGTTATAACTTGTCTGCCAGCTGTTTCTCACACACGCGCTCAGTCTCATTAGGAGTCTGCAAAGTCCTAGCTTCATTTCATGTCTCACATAAGCATCTCACAGACTAAAGCATAAATGAAATCAGTCTGGGCAGATCACTGATTTGTATGTTGCCAATGTGGCATATGCATTTGAATATCTCTGAAACTGGCTACACTTTTTGCAAGCTGTGTCAATGTACATGTGAGAATATGTTGAGGCAGGTTAAGACTGGTACGCTGTGAGGCTGTTGCTTGTAAGACAACAGATTTTAGCTAACCTCGGTGTGAACTGCTGCTGCTGACTGTGCTCTCCGGCAGCCTCCTGTGCTTGGGTGAGCTGAGCATACCTGAGTATGCCAGCTCAGGTAATTGATCCAAATGAAAAGGAGCCCGATTAAAGAATTGTAAAATAGCATTCAGACAGATTCCCTGGTCCAGCTTGTGACAGAGTGGGCAGGAAGGTTAGGGCCGGTTGTTTCAGTTAGATCAGCAGCAAGAGGTCATGAAGCTGCAACTGGAGCTGGTGGTTTGCATAGAGTGATGCCACATGGAGACTTTTTTCTTTTCTTTCCCTGTTTTCCTTTCCACTTGTGTTCTGCTCCTGATTACAAGCGTCAGTCTAGGTAATGGCTGCACCATGAATCAAACGCAGACACAAATTCCCTGCTTGTACACTGATTACAAGTGAGAGCAAAGAGCCAGGGTGCTTAGAGGCTCTGCTGTTGTGGGTGCTCCTGGGGACCCAATAACTGTAAATACATTGCATGAGGCTTTGAGATAGACTTGTAACTTTGTAGCCCTTTCAAACAGCAAGCATCAGCTTCCCGACCACTAGCCCACAGCTGATTAAGTAGCACAAACTACAGTACCCACCTACACCTCAATGCTTCATTGCTCCCTCGAGTCATCTGTTGCAAGAATTAAACAAAAATTTTATCTCCTGAAGCAAAAATTGTATCTCCTGCTCAGCAGGAGGCCTGCACAGAGCTAGGTGTCCTGCCTTTGAAACAGCTTTTTCCATCCACACCATCAATAAAAGGGCTTTTGAAGCAGATCCCTTTGCACAGTGAAGGAAGTGAGTGAAAGAAAAAACTTCCTTTTTTCTGTGCTATTGTATGATGGCATCACTAAAAAATTGTGCTATGTAATATCCTTGTGTCACACTCTCAACTTGCAGCCAGGGCTTTCTATCTGGGTGCTGATACATATGGTACGTGATGCTGGCAGCCGAGGCTAGACATTGGTCATGAGGGCTGCTCCAATACTCTTTCCAGCCATCTGGTATTTGGCCGTGGTCACACGTCTGTTTAATGCTCTGGAAACTAGTCATTCCTCTGCAGGAACTTTGGCTGGGGGAAACCAGTCACAAACCTCCCTCTGATTGTTGAGTGCTAGAAAAATATCGTATCATGGGCCTGCAGTCGTCTGTGCAGCTTTGGAGTGCCTCTTAAGAGCATCTGAGCACTGGAGAGGGAGTCATTTTTCCACTAGGTAGTGGTCCGGTGGTCCTACAGGGCACGTTGCTAGCACCGCTGGCCTCAGTCACAGAAGATATTTCACATTTGTTACAGACTATACCTGGAGACTTGCGTGCCGGAAGGTGGGCACGTGCCCACTGCTGGTAGTCGTACCATACAGCCAAGGCAAGGAGCAACCATGAGCAGGTGGAAAGTTGCTGCCACTGCAGAGACTATGTGTAGGCATGGGAATCTGCCACGCTTGTTCTCCTTCCAGTGAGTCTCTGCTATGGAGAGCTATCCCTGCCTCAGCCCCAGTCTACAAGGTGCACTATGTCATTGAAGGGTACTGTATCATCAGCTTTGTGTGACCTAACTGATGTCTTGAGACCTCTGTCTACAGTGCTGTCATTTCAGTACACACAGCTATAGGCAGCTGTACCATTGGGCCTCCTAGCCTCCATTGCTGGAGCGACTTATTTGCAAAACTACTGTTTGTAGAGCAAATTCAGTGATGGGAACAGCTGAACAGCTGGTGGTGGTGTGATGTGAAGGAATTGACTGAAAAAGTAGTAGCATGAGACCCACAGGACTGTCACCCTGACGGCACATCTTCTGCAGGCATGTCAAAACTGCATGTTATCTATGACAAGACCAAGTGGATGTCCCACCTACCAAGTGAAAACACTGGAGGTGCATACTGTCTGGTGCTGCAGGCTCCCTGGGAGAATGTACACGGGCGCTCAGGCCTGATGTCTTTTCTTACCACAGGGGGCTGGTAATAAAACAGTGTCTTACCCCACTGCGTCTGGTGCTGCTCATTTATGGTAGTAGGAATAATCCATATACTCTGGTATGCAGGCAAGTGGAAATGGCTGTAGAAGTACGACTTGCATCAATTACTCTTTCTGCTTATGGCTTCCATACTGTCTCTTTCCACAAAGTAGGTTTTGGCTTTTTACATCCATTCTTGTAAGAGCAGAAAGGGGACGATGAACACAGGGGAACATTTGCAAGACGCGCATTGCTTTTTCTCCAGTGCTGCTCCTCAGGGATCTGTTCTTCTTTGCCATTTGCTCTGGTTAGGCCATAGTGGTAGCCACCTTAGCTGACCTTTCCCTTTCCCCTTCTGGTCCCTCGCATCTCTGTGCCATTTGTGAATTCAGTTTCTAGCCGAGGCCGCGGGAGTGCTAGAGAGCAGCTCTTGTGGAGAGGCAAGGATTGGCTGTGCTATTCCCGTGTTTCCCCAGGGGAGGCTCTTGCCGGAGTCTTGGCCCGTACTTTCAGGTTTACTCTAGCACAGGGAGGTGTCAAAAATTCTCCCACTCGGCTACTTTACACAGCCCCATGGGGTGTGTGACAAAGTTGGCTCTTCACTCCCACGGATGTGTGTTCCTCTCCTTTCCAGAAAGAAATGTCATCAGCAATAAAAAGTCCTCCCCAAACTTAGGAGCTAAGGTGGCCGGAGTCTTGGCCCGTACTTTCAGGTTTACTCTAGCACAGGGAGGTGTCAAAAATTCTCCCACTCGGCTACTTTACACAGCCCCATGGGGTGTGTGACAAAGTTGGCTCTTCACTCCCACGGATGTGTGTTCCTCTCCTTTCCAGAAAGAAATGTCATCAGCAATAAAAAGTCCTCCCCAAACTTAGGAGCTAAGGTGGGGAATAAAATTTTGTACTCTGCTGAGTTTAAGATTTCTTTTCCTCTGCTTGTGGGTCTTCGAGCATCATCCCTCTTCATGGGGCCCAGACAGGACTCAGGTCACAGAAAGGGGGCTCTGAGCCAGCAGAGCCTTGCAGGCCAGTGCAGGTATCGCCCAGACCCTGTGCCCAGGCTAAGGGCATGAAAGCAGAATTACCCCGAGACCTCCTGCCTACCTTCTTTCACCTGCAGCAGAGTTGCAGACTCTCTGACTCCTAGAGCAGGTGAGGCTCCAGACAGTGAAAACCTCAGGCAGGGAAAGGCAGGTAGATCGACATTGGTTTTTATGCCTGGGGCTGCGCAATGTTTTTTTAACTATACTCATAGTGTAAAAACCTCTGCAAAGCTTATATTTCTTGCTTTCACAGCCATGGACTCCTGAAGAGTTAACCATAAACCTGGAGTGCCCATCAGGTGGTGTAATGCAAGAGAAGCTGTACTGAAGAGCAGCTGATACAAAGATCTTGTAATCTTCAGTGCTAGGTATTGTTCTCTGCTATTGTGTTATCAAGGCTGTATACAGCAGCCTTTTGATATCCGTCCAGGGAGCGAGCTGTTTCTTCAGAGATGATGAAGCTTAGATTGTATCAAGACCTCTTATGACTCAAACTAAATGACTTCCCCTTCCCCCTCAGAGTAAATCAGATTTTACAAGCTTTGGCAATTTCAATGCATGCCGTGGCTGTTAGTTGTAAGGCTGCTGCAGCCTTCACGTTCTTGAATGAGAACGAAGATATGAATGAACGTTCAAGGTCTTACCCAAACCTTGCTCTCTAGCATTGCCCTTGAACTGCGGTGTCTGGTTTGGCCAAGCCATGCTACAAATGTCATTTCAGCTCCTACCACCCCAGCTAGTCTGTAAGGGTGCGATGCTCATCGCTTTTCAAAATTGTCCACATGAATCCTGCAGTCCCTTCTCCTGTATCTTTGGGTTGGTGAGGGTACTTCTCTCAGATGCCTTTGGCAAAGAAGATGAGAGCACGGAGGGTGCCAGGCTTGCTGCTGCATCCTGATAGATGTGGGCTGCTGTGAGCAGGAGCCAGCTGGAGAGGATATTTTGGGGAACTACAGTTGTGATGGTAAACGGAGAAGATCTCTGTCTTGCACCTGCTCTGGGGTGTGCTCTGCGTCACAGTGGTGGGGCAGCTCCAGGTGCCCCTTTCTCCATCATCACATGGCTTCATCCAGCCTGAAGGCAAGAAACTTCGACTTTCTTTTCCGGTGTATTGTCTTCAGGCAGCTGCTTTGTGAGCTGCCATGGCCGGGGAAGGTTTGGGAACCTATCTTGCACTGCTGCCACGTGTGTGGGACAACCTCAGATCAGCCCTGGTCGTTCATGAGACAGGGCTCGTGGTGAGCTGGAACTGACCATCACAGTGGCTGGTGGTCACCAAATTATTTACAACTCTCTTTTCAACTGGTCTCTCCTGGACTGGTTACGTTAATAAGGACGTGCAGGGTTGAATCCAGTTCATCGGCTTAAAGAGGCTCTGAATT